CTGTATATTAAAAAATCGTTTCTGAAGAATCATTCCAATCCAAGAAGTTCATAAAATAGTCTCGAAACAAGTACTGTAACATTTGTTTTCTCTTTACATTCACGCCCATTTTCAAACTTCGGCCTACGCTTAAATTAATTATGAATTTTGGAATAGTCCATGTGTCATGCAAGTTGAGATGTGGACCGCGGAGGGGGAGGGGGGGTGGATTCTTGGTGGCGGTAACTCAAATGTCGCGTGACGTGTGTTCATACAGAGAGTGCGTGTCGTTATAAATATGTCTGTTGGTTTTCCGGTTGTATACGTTCATTAATACGGTGGTGAAATTTACGTAACTTCTTGTTATAGTCCAACACGTCTGCCTGGTAGACGGAAGGATTGTATTAAACACGGAGGCTACGTAAAAAAACTACCGTATATGGAATAAAATTGATATGATGTAGAAAGTGAAATCAAATATGTAAAGTCCAAATTTTTGTTTAAAGATATTTACTGACGATACATAACTCTCGTCCATCAAAAAATGGTGCGTAATCTGTAATAAACAAAACTATGTTTGTCTGTCTATGGAACTCAATGCCACTCTAGACTGAGAAACCACAGTGTATTAATGTTTAATCACGTGAATTGCAGAATTCACATACAAAAATGTCATGTCGACTACCATTAACAAAGATCAAAACTGAGCCGAGCAAACACAGCTGGTCTTCATTTAACTCAAGCATCCAATTGACGGTTTATAAAAGTGGTGTTAAAATTTGTTTAAAACGGAGCCCAACAACAGAAACACGAGTTAAGGTACAAAAATTACACCACAAGAAGTTCCACCGCAGTGAAACAATCTCCCAACCTCCCCAGTAACACTCCAGACAAGACCACCTTTGTTGCTAGGCCGCTGCTCACGTCAGATGCGCATAAGTATGTACACGTGCGAACATGGTGTATTCACGACCAGAACGTGTGTTCGTTCTCGAATATTCTACGTCACATCGAAATCATTTTTCTTTCTGTTCGTGAAGCATTTAGCATTGAGTATCCTGACAAGGCGGTACTGAATAAGACAACATTACACCGAATGGTAACAAAATGTCGAAGTGTTTATCTGTGACAAGTGTTCGTCTAGCGTCTAGAGGTTCATGTCTTCGTTTAAGACGAAACATCCCGTAGAAATATCCGTAGCTTTGAACTTCTTGTTTGAGGCTATACTCACAATCAGTTGAATAACAAGCGAAAGACCTTAGGGATTTGGTTGAAAGAGAAAACACTTTTCTTCCTCCTATACACAAAGCTAATCGCACTAATGTAGTCAGTAAAGTGTTGTGTGACTTGATATTACAATATTATACAAAGAAGGCTATCTCAGCGGGCCTCATGTTCACCCCTCACTGAGTCGCCCATCCTTCCACTAACACTTCGTTCTTTTTCAGTTACAAAGTGGTCTAAGTCACTAATTTATGTACAAACTTCTTTGGCTTTTAACATATTTAGTTTATTTATTACTTGCAGAACTCGCTACAAATGAATCATTAACTTATAATTACAGCTGCGATTTGTTATTTATTTAATACGTCTCTACTGTGTTTATAAATATTTGAGTTTTTCCCACGTAAACACAACATAGTGTATACATAGGCATACAATTTCAAAGGAGGCTTATTTTGGGCACGATAGCTTGCAACAGACTATCGTAAGCATAATTCCAAAAATTTCATACGCTCCCCGTTGTCTCCAAAGATGAATGGAAATTTTCGTTCGGATGTCTTTGAGAATTAAGAAATCATTATTCTACGGGAAATATCAAATCACCAACAACCCTGATTCCCCCTGCGTCCTACAAGCATCGACGTCATATGAGCACCTTTTTCGGTGTTCAGAAAATACGTAGATAAGGAAGAATTCTTTGTGATCAAAGAACTCTACAACCATTACCTTACGAGCAGACGTTCGGGACCATGAATGTCTTTTTTCTTCAGACTAAATATTACTGTGTTTGGTAATGAAGACGAAAATATTAATCATCATTTTGTGATGTGAACAAGATTGGGAAACACTTTTCTACAACACAAGGCCACCCACTCCACTCGCAAAAATAATTCTAGTTTCTGAAACACCTTAAATGGACGGACGAACCTTAGTCCACTTTGGCTTTGAGCCCTTTATATCAAATAAAGCGGTCTACTGCACGACCTCTGATCACGACATAGGTCAAGTGGCACGCAAGCAGCTAGCCGGTAATTGCACTTAATCTCAATAATTGAAATCAATACGAGGCCATCAAACGACAAGGGAGATTTGGCTCAATCCAATCTCTCAATAGTTGGTCCCAGTTTAGAGATGTCCCTAAAGAAATATAGAAAAAAAAACCTTGTATTTCTGTCAATTCATTGTTGTCTATTTGCATGTAAGTTTACCCAAATTACATCCCTTCAGAGACTTTTAAAAAAAGTAAGTTGATTTTATTATTATGCAACGATACTTGGTTCGTATCGGGGAAAAAACCTTGTAGCGTTTGGTGGTGAGCCATGCAGTTCCAGCCCGGAGCAGGGAAGTGACAGTTGCTTTCAACTTTATTAGTGACGTCACAAAGCCAAAGCTAAATTCTTATATCGCATTTGAGATGTTAGATTCTCACGGAGTTAAACATGTCGACTGTTCTGTACTGGGTTGTAACACCACGTGGTCTTGTAAGTTGTTTCCAAAAATTCTCGAGGAACATGCCGCCTTTGTCTTCGAGTTATACTGTTTACTTCAGTTTCTTAAATGATGCGTTCCGTCTCTATAAACTGTGGACCTAAAGCGTCGACCTACAGTGTCGCAAGGAGAAAGATTGTGAATTGTGACATGGAACGTCTGTGGTTCTTCGTAGTTTTCCTCAGTTGTGAACACGATAACAAACATTCTGTTCCATAAAAGACGGAGAATTTCTTAACTAAGCTACTATTAGCGTCGTTTGTTTGGCTTAAGACCCGACTTATCTTTAAACACGTGGAAACTGGAATGGCTATCAGATTGAATTAAGACTGTAAATTCTATTCAAAAATTAATGTCTACCGTCGGCACAATAAGTTGAAGCGAAGAGGGTTGTTATTTTCTGGGTAGGTCTGCTTGGAATGGCGGCAGGGGCAGGTGTTGGGTAGGAGCGGTCTCTTCCTAATTGAAGTCCGGTGTTTGGATAATGACCCTACAAATCGGCTCTCTTGACCCCTACAGGGCTCAATGCCGTTTCTGAATTAATGCATGAGATTTCTACGACAAAGAAGCGGGAAGGAAAACGTTCCTAAGGAAAAAGAAGCATTAATGTCGGCATCACGAAGGCTGCTACTGCAGTGTTACCATCTGGTGTAAGCTGACGAATATAATTAAAGCATAACTTTGAGAATAAACCGCCTAGAATATTTTACATTAAACCCCGGCTGCAAAACCTTAGGACAAAGGCACGAAACCTGAAGAAGGAATAAGTACGTTCCTCCGAAACGTTGGTATCTACCTACAGGTCCACACTGTGTTATCACTAAGGAGAGATACATCAACCTACCACCAGGTGGACGTGAGGAAAATTTCGAAAAGCCTCAGACAAGACAGCTGACAATCTGGGCGCGAATTTTAGAACATAATTAGGCTTATCCGAAAATATTTTCAAGTCATAGTGCATAAACACAAGCAAGTATATCAAAAATTCAGCGAGGTATGTTACTTGCTGGTACGAGGATAAGAATATGACGTAAAGATAAGCTAACAAAAATTGGGAAAATTTTAGACTGTAATGAAATTGTCGTTTAGAGAAAATATGCGTAAATAAAATAATTACATAAAAAAGGAGGTAATCCGAATTACAGACAGTACGAATGTGTGAGGTCTTATTGTATTATTATAATATTCTTGAATTATTATTTGCTATACCTCAACTTGGCATTTGCTTGTTAAGATAATTTGTGAATGCGATAAACAGTAATGATTCATTTAATATTCACAATTGGGTGGCATTGGTTTTCCTCAGACGGTCTGAAGAATGTTCATGAACAAACACAGCATTGCGTACACAGACTATTCCTGTGAGGCGGCTGACAACTTCGAAACGTCCGGCTAATCGTCTCTGGATAAAATGAAGCACTACGCATGCTTTTACTGAGCCAAGGACAGTCAGACCTCAAAAATTAGTTTCCCTTATCCACTGCTTTCTCTCCTGGAGACTCTTAACTCTTATTCGTGACCACGCCCAACCTTTCATCTTCCTCAGAGTTCCGACAACAGGCAGCATCCATTTGTTTTCCTTACGTCCTCAGCCAGTCATTAAAACAGCGCGTCTCTACGAACCATAATCATTCTATCAATACTGCAATTATTTGTCTTTCCACTCTATAATATTGAAATAAAAGTAAATGTAATAACATCTTGAAGTCGAAGATCGTCTAAATTATATTTAAGAATTCAGTCCGTACCGCAAAGAAAACACAGCGCTTCACCATTACGAAAATCAACTGGTTAACGCCGTTTAAGTAAATAATCCGTGTTTAGAATAAGAATTACATAAAACCTACAAACACAAAATGAAGATTTATTGATTTTTTTAAGCAGGTGGGACGCGTAGATACCATTGGGCTTTGGAAGAGTAAATAAACACTAACACTGAAATACATTTCGAAAATAAAAGGTAGTCACATGAACAACTGAAATTATTTAGAGACATCCTTATATGGTAGGGGAAATAAGAAAGGACAAACTTCGAACGTTAGGTACTGGGGGGGATTGGCATTGCGGACCAAATTACTCTTAAATAAGGAAAGTAATTCAGAAATAAAGTAATAAAAGTTCGTCTAACTAAATTTTGCATCAAAGAACGCTAATTTTCGCGTCGCTTTGGAGAACTATAGTTGAATCCGCGCGTACGATGTAATTCGTGATTACGAAACATCTACTGGAAAGATTTATGTCATCATTAACACTATGTAGAATGCAAAATTTTAGATTTCATAACAGTTTTCGTGACGATTGTGACGTACCTGATCATTCTGTCCAGTCACACAGCACAAACTCATACCACTTCAGACGTATCTGCAAAATAAACAAATATATAAATAAAATAAAGTTAAATGAAACATAACAATGTTCAAATAAACATTACTAAGGATCTGAACTTCTAGGTTATGAAGCTGTGCAATTACAAGAATAAATACATCCATCATGGCGCCATAATCTAGACAATCACGATCTTAATTAATCCTTTAATTATCAGTGGTAAGTATATGTACCACATGGTTCAACAATCTATATCAATGTATTATGCCCACAGAGCGTATTCATGGGTTTCAGAATAAACATCGATTGTTTTCTAAACTACATTTAATGACGTATTGGTAAGAATTTGTGTTTTCTTTGCGGTACAAATTGAATCTTTAAATATTATTCAGATTAGCTTTGTAACAGAGCATGGGTTCGAGTTCCTTACCAGGCGAAAGAATTATTTACTACCTGAGTGAATATCAGATTCTCAAGAAGGTTAATTTCATGGAGTTTATTGGTGAGAGGTTTTTTTATTACGTATCTGCTTCACTGGTATGGGACTAACTCATTATTGGTCGACAATACACACCGAACACATAATAAAGTGATCGATGTGTGAAATTGACATTACCCATGCAACCGATACTTATGGACTAAGATGAAAAGTTCATAGATCTATCAAAAGATCGCAGCACGAAGAAGGTACGTTCTGTGTTGCGTAGCTGCCACCAGATGGCGAGTGCTTACACTATATCTCGTTCGCACGCACGACGAAACCCTTCTATATAATGATACAGTACGTGCCTGGAAGATGGCAGCACCATTCACAATTGTCGATGGATGGAAGAAGGACCAAATGTATCTAGCGACTCAATTAAATTGTGGCGAATGGACAAAATATTGCTGTTCTTTAAACAATCGGCAGTCCGCAGTTACGGAAGGCTCTCGATTCGAATCTTTCATGAGACACTAATTACCTGAGATTTTCATGATTTTCTTCATTCTCTAAGGCGAATTGCCAGTTCCTTCCTTGAACAATACCTTTTCCTCTCAAACCATTTCATCAATAATTCTTATATAGTCGAAAATGAATACTGTCCATACCTGACTACGAAGTAACCAGTCATAAGCATTAAATCATAATTTAATAGAAACATGGAGAAGGACAAATACCCAAAAGTGCTCTCAGAACAGTGCATTTAGTTTAAGAATGGCGTATATCCACTATCTAAAGAAACTATGTTATAAGAAGAAAGGTTGAACGTGTCTTTCTTTGCAAAACCTTTAATTCTAAGACTGTTATTATACCGGTACGCTAAAATATATATTTTCAGCCAATACATATTGTCTGAAATGCGAGAAAGTTCAGTTTGTCTTTTAAAACATATATTGGAGACCCGTTCTACTAGACTCGGGCTGCGTAAAAGACATATTCGGGTGGCACGCGAACCGCGGACCGCTGATTGGCTAACCCACTGCCAACAGGAAGCAAACCGTCCTTGATGGTGTAACGACGTGTGGGCGAACCTTCTCTCTCTCTCACAAGCAGGCAACATAACACCTGCGAGATCCAAGGAGCTTATTAATATGTCTGTGACGTCATTGCATTTACTCATTCATCACGCCAGATGGCAGGCCAGTCCCTGAAACTACGACATTAGCAAAGGAAACGGTTTAGCTACATCGTAGGGACTTGAACTTGAACAATGGGAAGTGACGGAAAATAAGAAATGCATTTTTTTTGTGTCTTTCCCAGCGCTAATGACATTTTTATGGCACATTCACTGTCTGTTGAGAGTAGTGTCTGAATGTTAGATATTCTCATGCTACATACAGCATCCTTTCAATTCTCCTACATTACGTTTCTCTGATAGTGTTCATAAAAATTCATTTTACCAGACTCACACATAGTAGTCAGTACTCTGGAACATTTCAACACCAGTGAATCGAACTGTCCAAAAATTAAACAATTAATGTGACAGATTGATTCATGGCTGTCTTCTGGGTTTTAACGCCGTGTAATCTGATAAAAGTTTACCGACGTTTCAGAGGTCCTAGCTACCTCCATCCACCTCGTGCTGATGACAGAGGCATCTAGCACCTCTGAAACGTCGGTAAACTTCTATCAGACTACAAGGTGCTAGAACCCAGAAGACAGTCATCTTCGGACTCACCGCCGTGAGTACTTAAAATCTCACTGACTCGCGGTTATTTTAACGCCCATCCTGGTTGATGTTTTCGTGGTTTTCCTCAGTCCCTCCAAGCTTCCCTATTCATGTGTTACATCAACTCCCTCGCATTAAGCACTATTAACCTCTAAAGTTGACAGTGTCCATAAACAAGGTAAGAATCGATAAATTCTTTGTATCACTACAGTTCGATTCGAACGTAGGCGTCAGGTTTCGCTTAAATTTTCAAATCTTTCTTCAAGCAAGCCCTGATCCCGTTGGTTGGTGCCTAATTCTCCACAAAGAAAAAAAAAATTATTCGTGTCCTTTCACAGGTAACTTTTTCATTTCTTACTGGGGGAGTGTTTACTGAATAATTCAACTGATAAATCTCCATTACAGGTCTACCAATCGCCCACATGTCTGACTCGAATAACTACCATTTCTTTTGCTCTGTTCAAATTTGAAAGTGCTACCAAGACCTGTCGTGTCCTTGTTCGCTTCTTGTTGCTAACACCTGCTCTGATATCAGATTCCAACAAGAGTTTTTCTTACCAAAGACAAGCTAATATTTTTCCACGCCTTTTCGGTATCACGAAGCTGCTCTTATACCAGAAATGTAAACCTCCGACCTAAACCGGTCCAAGGACATGTTTTCTTTTCTTTTAGCGCATTCACTTGTCTTTGCTGCACTGGAGATCAAAAGACGGCCGCCAGAGTCAGGTAAAATGTGGAGACACTTTGTAACCTCAGTTAACTTACAGCTGAATACGCCTGTCCAGTAGACGAACAGGTAAGAGATTTGATTTAATGAATAAAACGCCTTTTTAAAGGCATATAAAATTATATATTATGAGGCCTGAACCAGTAAGCAACAGGTGGTAAAATAAAATTAAAGATTTTAATAAAACAGTAGCTAAATATTAAGATTCTGCTTGTCGTAACAAGTTCACAAACGTGTAGAGAAATCCAAAATATTTGAACTACTAAACACGAAAGCTTAAACAATATCAGAGCATATAGAGGGAATCAGAGAGAACAAATTTCGAATGGGTATCCATGTCCTCCGAAGTTATCCTGAATCAGTCGAGGCCACTGATGGTAGGGAAGTCTGATAACATACTCCTGAAATAATCATACTTTGCTATTCTCCTACTAGCTTAATTTTGTTTTTTATTAATGTACAAGGATTACATTAGCAATCTTACAAACCAAATTATTACAGCGGTATGTTATCAGACTTATCTACTTTCAATTGCCTCGACTGACTCAGGATAACTTCGGAGGACATGGATTCCTATTCGGAAGTTGTTCTCTCTGAGTCCGTCTATACGCCCCTTCAATTTAGCCCTAACATTTTGAATCACCCTGTATATATTACTACTGTATAGGACAGTATTGTATATCTAAAACGTTGTAAACCGAATGGACATCAAGTAGATTGTATGGCAAAAACAGAAGTTTGAACTAAGCTTAGGCCTGCATAAAATTAATCAAAATACGTCATAGGACTCAAAAGGCACACCAGGCAAGCCTTTAAGTCAAGTGGCGTCTAAACGTAACCAGAATCAAAATGGTTCAATAACAAACTTCCACCAACTTTGGACGAAACGGGTGACGTAATTTGGAGCTGCTACTAGCGGACAGAAGGACGTGAGGAATATGATATTAGACGTTTATAGAAACATAACCTAAAAATAAACAAAATAATTGCAGAGGCACATGACGAAAGTCGACTGGTTTCACACAAGTACCGCAGGTCGCTGACATAGTTTCTAATGTTGCTTACGTAACTACCTAAATCCAAAGCGGGCTTCTTTTTAAGCACTGAGCACGTCCAATCACATTCAACCATAATCAACAAATTCGTTTTGGTTCTACGAATGCCAGACAGGTGGTGCCAACATTACTTATTCTGGCTCCTTCAACAAATACAAACAAAAACCTCTGCTAACATGCATCACGTTCGTTCGCCAGATTATGAACGAACGATTTGCTCACGACACGTACGCTTTCAAGAAAAGGACGCACACTGTGACGCGCGTTGTTTTCACAACAACGATCGAAGACATAGAATACGTACTAGGCCACTCACTGCATACTCTGACGAGTAAATTCGCAAATACAAATATATTATTTATTTAAAGTATATTTAACGACGCTATCAGAAGCTCAGACAAGACGTACGGTTCAAATTACAGCATGATCAGTGAATAAATAAATTTGGAAGAATCTACCATCGCGACGCCGACTCCGAAACGTAAATGAAGCCAATACAAGCCTCGGGACGCCATTGGGCACAATGTTGAAAAACCGACACCAAAGCATCGCGATGCTATTCGTCGCGACGTCGATTACAATGTGCAAACACAGCCGACAGAATCCTCCGGAATCCATACAACCGATGATAATTGTCGCCACACAGCCAATCGGTTTCAAAATGTTAGGGCCAAAATGAAGGAGCATATAGAGGGAATCAGAGAGAACAAATTTCGAATGGGTATCCATGTCCTCCGAAGTTATCCTGAATCAGTCGAGGCCACTGATGGTAGGGAAGTCTGATAACATACTCCTGAAATAATCATACTTTGCTATTCTCCTACTAGCTTAATTTTGTTTTTTATTAATGTACAAGGATTACATTAGCAATCTTACAAACCAAATTATTACAGCGGTATGTTATCAGACTTATCTACTTTCAATTGCCTCGACTGACTCAGGATAACTTCGGAGGACATGGATTCCTATTCGGAAGTTGTTCTCTCTGAGTCCGTCTATACGCCCCTTCAATTTAGCCCTAACATTTTGAATCACCCTGTATATATTACTACTGTATAGGACAGTATTGTATATCTAAAACGTTGTAAACCGAATGGACATCAA